TATAAGTCTTACTTGAAGGGATAAGAAATGTTTGGATTATAAATATACGTTCTTGCTAATATAGTTTGTCTCAATGTCATTTCCCCAGAGTTATCAATAAATATTACACGATGTAATAATTTATCAACTTAATTAAATGATACAGGACTCTTTAGATTTTTCATGGATAAGTTATGCCAGAGAATAAATAATCATAGTAAATTAAAAATGAATACAAAAACAGTTCCTCATTGTTCTCTAAAATTAATACATAAATTTTCAATTCAAAAGAGTTTTTGCCATAATCTTGTAACAGATACTGAGTATATACAATAAGCCAGGTGCTGCAGCTGCAAAGAGGTACAAGGAGTGAGCTTTGGCCTTTGAGATATTTTCAGTTTAGCTGAGAAACAGTACATACACTTAAAAAAGACAAGGGTCAGTACTGAATAAACTAAGTTCTGATAACCATTTACAACAGTACTTCCATGGAAAAAAACCACTACAATATACTTTTGTTACACAAATGACTCTTAATATGAGGACTCTTAATACAGTTTTTCAAACAATCCCAAGTGATTCAAAATGGAGATCATCTGCTTTATTAAATTCTCAGTGCCATATCTGGCAGGCGTTGCAGTGAAACTGGATACTTCCTCCAAAATAGGCAGTACTTAAAAAACAGCTAGATACCCAAAAGTCACCAAAGACAGATTTCTTGGAGGTTTACCTAAACCTGTCTCTCCTTATCATCAAACAGTTTATTATTCCTTTGTTCAAATACATATACCAATAAATATTTACTAAGTCCCTACTAAGCACCAGGCATGTAGCTATAAAGACAAATTAATGCATGATCCACAGGTTCACGATCTACATGTGAAAAAAACAACAGTGTATTAAACACCATGAAAGAGGTAAGCCCAGGATGCACGGGCAACCCCAGCAAGGTGGTCTTGGGGGAATTGCTGCTGATTAGTCCTGAGATGAGTAGGTGAGGGCCAGGTAAAGAGTGGAATGCATGAAAAGACTAAAACCACTGAAGAACATGTCCCCTAGATCAGAATAGCTGGAGGATGGGGGGTGCTCACAGGGACAGGGGAGAGAGAAGTCTGAAGAAGGAAGTTGAGGAGGCGGCAGGAACCAAATCAGGAGGGATATTAATGTTCGATGCTAGGAAGCATGGGCTTTAGCTCACACGCAGTCGGGAACCCTGGCTAGAGGATCCTACGGAGCTGGCGGTCTTCTCTGGTGGCAGTGATGGGGAGGTATTGGAAGACAATGAGACTGAAAACTAGTGAAGAGGCTAGAACACAACTCCAGGTGATGAGTAACCTGGGTCTCAATAAAGGCAAGGGCTGTGCATCCAGCAAGGAGGGGGCAGATCCATGAGCTGTTTAGGAGACAGACTGGATGGGATGTGATTTACTACATGTGGAAAAAGAGGGAGGGGAGGGAGGTAAGGGTAGCTTCAGGCACTGATGATGGTCATGTTCCTTGGGTCAGGGAAAACAGGACGGGATGCAGGCTTGGGGGAAGATGACAGAGTCCCCAGGAGGAGCAGTTTACAAATAGGACATACATCTCAGCTTGTTTGTCATGTGGGAGCCACAGGGGAGGGTTTGAATAAATCCTGCTTCCTGTTTCTGGCAGCAAGTGACCTGCGATGTTCTCATAGTTCCTGTGGTAGTACCTGTCATTGCTCTTTCCCGGGGCACATTTCACTTATGGATGTGGACACTGTCACAATGGGCAAACAGTGGGTGAGGCCAGGGGATAGGAAATGCTTCAAGAAAGGGGACCAGTTACTTACATATCCATTTCCCCACACACAGCCAATAGGGAACAGCAGTGTGGGGTGGGGGGAGAACCCAAATCTGGATTCCTGCCTTTGGGAAGAGCCTTTGTCTGCATCTGGTGGGGGAACTGGGCTCAGCAGAGTTGAAGCCTAAAAGGAGATCAGTGTTCTAGAACTGTTCTGAGTGGCCCGTGTACTATGTGGAGGGGATGAACCATCGGGAGGGGCAGGCTCATACACAACAGCCCAAGACTGCGGGGAAGCCAGGCCACGAGATGCCAGGAGAAGACGGCATTTGTCGTGTGGGCCTGCTGTGGGATGAGGCTGCTCAGGCCTTTCCAAGGCAGAGTCCAGAAAAAGCAGCTCTGACTGGGAGTCACGGAGGCAGCCTGTGGGGAGCCAGGAACAGCATCGGCCAAGCTGGCCCATGACTCATGCAGGAATCTTCCTCCAGCACACGTGCTGAGGGAGACGGGACCCTGGAGTCTGCCATGTGAAGCTGAAATATGAAAGAAGGGATGGGAGGGGGCAGGAAGCAAGGGGAGGAGGGCCCGCAGTCAGGAGGCTTATCGTATGTCTGAGGAACAACAGAAAGGCTGGAGTCCCAAGGTCTGGGATTCTTGGATTTGCCACTTCTAAGCCCTTAAGAGGACCCTGGCACCACCAGAAAGGGTCTCCTGACATTATCTGGCTACTTTTCTCGGCTACCTCACATGCCCTCCCTTACTGTTAACTGCCTCAACACCACACAGCTGCAGCGTTCCTGGGGAGGAGGGCCCGCAGTCAGGAGGCTTATCGTATGTCTGAGGAACAACAGAAAGGCTGGAGTCCCAAGGTCTGGGATTCTTGGATTTGCCGCTTCTAAGCCCTTAAGAGGACCCTGGCACCACCAGAAAGGGTCTCCTGACATTATCTGGCTACTTTTCTCTGCTACCTCACATGCCCTCCCTTACTGTTAACTGCCTCAACACCACACAGCTGCAGCGTTCCTGGAACATGTCATGCTATTTCACGCCCAGCTTATGCTGGGGGCCTTCGAAACGATCATGGAAAGATCCGTACTATTAATTCAATTTTGCTACAAACTTTTTGAAGTACCCTCGTATTGTTCTCTCTTCCTAGAAATATGCTTTCGCTGCTTTGCCTACCTGGAGAACTCATTCCATCCTCGAAAGCCAAACTACAACATCACCTGCTCTGATCCTTACAGTATAATATTATATCATTGCACGTAATACACTGTATGGCAATTGATCAAAAATGGAGGCCACTTACCACATGCTTGGCACATAGTATGCTTGCAACACATGCCCATTAAGTGAACAAAAGGATATATCCTAATATGGGTCTGGTTCACCTTTCTCTGGCTGGGGTGTTGACACAGTAATGCATTCCTGTGACTGGTCTGTTTCTAGAGCTTTAGCAGTACTGCCTCACTCAGGGGAATTTTAACTGGTGCTGGCACCAGCTCCGGGGTGACCTCACAGCCTCCCTGGATTCCTATAGCCCCTCAGCTGGCACTAAAGCTCAGCTTTGCAAAGAGAGAGAGAAATCAGGGCAAGAGATGTTCCTGGCATGCCAACCACACACCCTAGTCCAGCCATGCAGGGAGCTAGGTCTTCAGAAGATGACCTGAGGAAAGGGAGAGGTAACTGCTGAAGAGCTCTAGGAAAGAGGTTCTCAGCCTGGGGGGAAGAGCAGGAGAGGAATGATGGGCTCCAAGGAGTTCATGAGCCATTGTGTGCACAGGCATTTTTCTGAGAGGACGATTCACAGCACTCATCAGATCTGCAGAGAGGCCCATGACTGTTAAATGTTAAGACCCACCATTCCAGAAACATGCCTTGCTAAAGACAGCTCTGTTCAGAGAACCAGCTGTTGACTCTAGATCAGATAGAACTTGGTTATGGTCAAGACAGATCAGGAAGGCCATCAAATTTCCCTATGGCTCTCACATCACACTGAGAAAAGCCTTTCTGAAGGTAAGCGTTGTGTGCAGTTTAAAGAAGTTCCACGATCTGCGTTTTGCACAAGATCAAGTGCAGCGAGCAAGAGGGAGTTAGCCTTAGGATACCTCCACGCTGACCTTTCTGCTCCTCAGAACAACAAACCTGCCAAAATATGAAAAATTAAAAGGCAAACCTCCCGGCTCTCATTCCTGATGAAAAGTCGGCTCTGACCTTGCTCTCTCAGGACTGGGCTCAGGAAAAACTAATAAACAGACAAATCCTGTGCAATGGCTCTTTTACATTTGACCTTTTCTTCTTTCTGGCATAGAAACATATGGTATTAGAAGACAGCAGAAAGAGGCTTTCCATATTAAAGAGGCAAGAAGCACACACACACGAAGAGAAAGCAAATCTAAAACTGGAGAGGCCAGTACTAAACTCTGGGGAATTGAGAGTCACTTTTCACCCACATCCCGTAAGGGTAGAAAAAACACAGGAAAAAGGTTTCTACTAAAATAGGTGTTTGTGTTTTTTTTTTTTTCTTTTTTAAAGAAAAGCATGAATCACTCAAATCTACCCAGATCTTGGTATAGCTCTGCTGGATATTTGTTTGCTTGTTTTCGGTTCCTACTGTTTCTCCCCTGACTTCTGAAAAGATAATACAAAAAAGAAAAAAAAAAATCCTTAGAGTGAACCTTTAACTTTCAGTTGTTAAGAGCACATGCATGCTTTGTACCCAAACAGATGTGGGCTCTGTCACTGACTTGCTAAGTAATGCTAGATGAGTCTCTTAACCTCCTTAAGAGCCCAATTCTTCAGCAATTGAAAGAGGAGTATGAACAATACTAATTTCCAAGGGTTGATGAGAGAATTAAAGAAAATGATGCATTAAAAAATCTTAGACTTGGGCCAGCCCTGTGGCTCACTCGGGAGAGTGCGGCACTGGGAGCGCCGAGGCCGTGGGTTTGGATCCTATATAGGGATGGCCGGTGCGCTCACTGGCTGAGCGTGGTGCGGACGACACCGTGCTAAGAGTTGCGATCCCCTTACTGGTCAGGGAAAAAAAAAAAAAAAGAGACTAGCTAATTTCCTTATCATCCACCAATTCCTTCAAAATCAGAAAAGCATGGCCCAGCACCAGGATTGGGAAAGATGGGATTCCACAGGTCCATTTTGTACTTTCCTGATTTCTATGCTTTTGATAAGTGGCAGCCAAAGGTTACATAATCACAGATGACATTTCAAGGGAAATCACAGCAATGACATTTCCTTACCCGGCAGTCTCTCTGAAGTGTTTTCATGAGCGCATTGTATGTTTCTGTGTCAAAATACAACCCTTCATGCATGTCTTGTAGGAAGTCTAAGTCCTTAAATGTTGGGTTGGACTTCTCTCTCTCTTTTCGGGATGCTCTGCGCTTATACGTTGAACCTTTCAAGTCATACGTAAAGTTCATTCTCATCGAGCGTGGCAGAACATTGTTCATTACCACAATCCTGATGTTAATGCCTCCTGATTGCATGCAATACAGCCCATAAAATTTTGGCAAAAGAGTCCTTGGATTCTGGTTTAAATTCTAGAAACAAAAAAAGGAAAAAGATATTTACTATCTACTATTTTTACAAAATAATACCATACTGAAGATGTGTTTTCATGCTAACATGATCATTAAAAATGAGATGTGATTATATTTTATATTTATATTTTACATTTATATTATGTGCTAAAATTTTGCTGTTGCTAATCCATTTCCTTATGTCTGCTTATTGAAACAGCAACGTTACCATTCTCAACTCAGGGCAGTAAAAGTGGCTGGAATGATAAAGGACATAATGTCCCAAATTAGCTCCAAGTAAAAACAGGCAAAGAATTGATGGATGCTATGAGTGACTGTTCTCTAAGGTAACTAAAGAAAAAATTAATTGCTGGGGTATAAGGGATAAACACTTTAAATTTTAATATCTCCTGCAAAACTGTCTTCTAAAATGGCAAGACCAATTTACAACCACACTGTGTAAGATTACATGTTTCTCATCACTGTTACCAGAGCTGAATATTATCAAACTTTAAAATCCTTCTAAGCATGCTTGGTAAAAAACAGAAACTTGTTTTTAAACATTTGAATAGCAATAATTATTATAGAATTTTAATATTTTTGATGTACTTTTAGCCACTTCAAAGATAATTTTGTGTTAATATCCTTTGCTTGTTTTTCTATACAGGTTCTTGTCTTTGATGGAATTCTTTATATATTCTGGATTTTCCTCTTCTGTGTGGGGTAAATATTTTCTCCCAGTAAGTTGCCATTTTTATTATTATAAAAATAGGGAATACATGCCTATTTTTGTTCCCCTTTAAAAGTAGGTAAGAAATTCAAAGTTACAGTTAGATAGGAAGAATAACTTCTGGTGCTCTAGGGTAACTAATAGCTAATAATATTGTATTCTATATTTCAAGATAGCCAGAAAAGAGCATCTTGTAATGTTGTAACCACAAAGAAATGATAAATGCTTAGCTGACAGATATGTTAACTATTCTGATTGGATCATTATATAATATATGCATGTACTGAAACAACAAACTGTACCTATAAAAATGTCCAACTAAAAACAAATTTTAAAAAATAGATAAGAAATTAAAAGAGAAAATATAGATACAGGAGTAGCTCTGAAAAGCCGCTGTTTTGTAAAGGAAATTTACATCTATAAAGGACATTTACATTAGTAATACAGGTATTTGTATCAGGAAGACAGCTGCTTCAAGACCACCTTTATTACCTGAGATACTTTTATCTGCATAACAAGATGACCTTTATTCATCATACATTTCCTCCCCTCACCCTTCACCCTCCATTATTTGTCTCCATCATCGCCCAGAAGCCCCAAGCCCCTATTCCTTTCTGTAGCTCAGGGTCTATATTAGGTTCACTATCTGGTCCTTCTTTGAATCTCATATCTTTGCAGGAATCCTGTGTGTGCACATAAAATTAAATTTTTTTTTCTCCTATTAATCTTTCTTATGTCAATTGAATTCATCGCCTAGCCAAAAACCCTAGAAGGGTCTCCCTCCTCTACACAGTACAAGAAAAACTTGGGATTAGCAGAAAGCTTCTCCTGCCAGTGCTGAGCTGCACCAGCCACCAGAGATTGGCCAGGCCTTCCTTATTTCCATCCAGAGACTGAACTCCAGAGAGCCCCAGAAGGCTGAGCCTGCAAGTCTGCCTTTGGGACAGGCAGCAATTCTGCCTTTGGGACGAGAAAGAAATTGTGGAATCCAGGTGTCCATATACTCAATACAGCTCTCAGACTCTTAAAGGAATTCTTACCTTCTCTACAAAGAATAATACATAAATATTTTTAGCACAGATATGTGCCTTAACCCTCTAAATCTCCAAAGAAGTACTTGTTTTAATACTTCAGAATGGCTACAAAATATAGAAACACTTAATGATTTAATGTTTTCTACATCTTAACCCACTTCTTATGCACTGACTTTAAAGACCCTTAGGAACAGAGTAAATATTGGGAGTAGGGAAAATTAGGGAGAATCAACTAAGGGAAAAGTGAAATGTTTTTCCAAAAGCCCATCTCCAAGGTGTGGGAGAAAAGGACTTTGCAGGATAGATGGATGAGAAATGCCATGAGTCACTACAGTGAGAAAGACTTCCCTTTGGCTCCATCTGTGGACCCTTCCAAAGAATGCTATCTCCCTCACCATCACTAATCCAGAGCTGCTCTAAGGGACAGAGGAAGAATTACCCCCTGAAGATTACATACTAAACAACTGGATATATGCAGAATTAGCTTTTTAAGTATGATACAGTACTTTTTCAAAGCAAATACTTAAAGTATTTTTTTGTTTTTGTCCTTTTTGAGACTGGACACACCGCGCTCAGTCATCCCTACATAGGATCCGAACCCGCAGCAGGAGTGCCGCTGCGCTCCCAGCGCCACACTCTCCCGAGTGTGCCATGGGCCCGGCCCTCAACTGTTCATTTTTAAAAACATTCCTAAAATGATAATTGCTTTCTCTTTCAAATGAATCAGTATTGTCAAGTTCTGGGAAAAATCCTATTGGGATTTTTGATTGGAGTTAGACTGGATTTATAAATTGATTTGGGGGTAACTGAAATCTTTACAATACTGAGTTCAGGAAGAATGTATATGTCTTTACAATTTCCTTCAATAACATTTTGTAGTTTCCTTCCTATTGGTCTAGTATACATTTTTTAAAATAGTCTCTAGTATTGGGCTAGCCCATGGCTCACTTGGGAGTGTGTGGTGCTGATAACACCAAGTCAAGGGTTAAGATCCCTATATAGGGATGGCTGGTTAGCTCACTTGGGAGAGTGTGGTGCTGATAACACCAAGTCAAGGGTTAAGATCCCCTTACCAGTCATCTTTAAAAAAAAAAAAAAAAGTTTCAAGTATTTTAGAGTTTTTCTTGTTATTATGAAAATTTCTTCTGAATTATTGTTCATATGCTACACTTACTATAACTTGTTTCCCAATGAGAATTATAGTATTATGTCTTTATTTATATCTTTATTTTTCTAATAATGTTCATTATACATTATTGTCATTATAGACAGGATCTCCTTTTTCCCCTACATTCCCCAGCTCTATTTACCTATGTAATGGAATACAATGGATTTTGTAGATTTATTTTATATCCCACAAATCTGCAGGACTCATATTACTTCTAAAAAATTATTAGTTTATTTTCTTGAAGTTTTGCTCATTTTAAATTGTGTCATTTACAGAGAATGGCACACATACTATTCTTCATTTCTTTTTGCATCAAAAAGTCATTGCCAGAATTTCTAGCAAATTATCGGACCATTGATGAATGGCATACTTGTCTTTTCCTATTATTTCCAGGTAAAAGACTCTTGTTTTTCTTCATGAGATATTATGTGACTACCAGCGATTGATAAATATAAAATATGTGTGTTTATTTACTTATGATTTAAAAAAACTGCCCTGCCAATTTTTAGAATTTTAATTTAGAGAAGATATTGAATTTTAAGGGCCTTCGTTTCTTTTCCACATCGATTTGGATAACATGCTCACATTTTTTCTTGTTAATGGGATGAAATATGTTTGTATACTAGCTTACATCATTGGGATTAAAACCACTTGTTCAGCTAAATTTAAAATTTTTATTTAATTAAATTTAAATAGCCACACATAGTTAATGGCTATGGAGTTTGGATGTGTTATCCCAGCCAAATCTCATGTGAAAATATGATCCCCAATGTGGCAGTGCTGGAAACTTGATTGAGTCATGAGGGTGGATCCCTCATCAATGGATTAGTGCTCTCCCTAGGTGGGGGGAGTAATGAGTGAGTTCTCGCTCTATTAGTTCCCACGAGAGCTGGTTGTTTAAAAAGACCCTGGCACCTTCTCTTTCTCTCTTTGCTTCTCTCACCATGTGATCTGCTTGTACCTGCTGGCTGCCTGCTGCTTTTCGCCATTAGTAGTAGCCTGAGGCCCACGCCAGATGTAACTGTCCCAGAACTGTAAGCCAAATAAACCTCTTTTCCTTTATAAATTACCCAGTCTCCGGTATTCTGTTATAGCAACACAAAATGGACTAATACAGCTACCATATTATGCAACGAGGTTCTACAATAAGGAACTAGTATATCTAAGCTTAGAACTACAGAAGTTTAAGATTTATTAAGTTAGCAGATTAACAAGGAATATCAGTTTGATCCCAATTTTAGATTTTTTTTTTTTGTCTTTTTCTGTGTCCAGCAACGGATCGCAACCCTCAGTGTCGCCCCCGTACCGGACCGGGACCGGCAACGGGATCGCAGCCCTCGGTGCTGCCCCTGCGCCTCGCTCAGCCAGTGAGCGGGAACCGGTCTGTATGTGGGATCCGAACCCTCGGGCGGGAGCGCCGCCGCGCTTCCCAAGCGGCGCACTATCCAGTGCACCACCGGGCCGGCCCCCCAATTTTAGATTTTAAAATGTGTCTATGAGTAGAATATATCTGAAAGCATAAACACCAAGTATTATGGATATGTATCTCTGGAAAAGGAATTAGAGTAGGTTGTATTTATTTATTTATTTTTTGCTTTTCTATTTTCTCTAAAAAAGGAAAATACTTGTTCAGAATCAAAGCCTTTTTAAAATCTGCATACTTTCCACTAAGATTATTATTTAGGTTTTTGATTTCTATATTTCTATATAAGATTAATTTACAGTATATAATGTGGTCTCTAGCAAATTTTGGAATTAAGTAAATATTTTTACATACAAACGATCTGTGTGGCATCTCATCAATTTTGTTTTGAGACAAAGATGACAGTTATCACCTTTTATAGCAAGTGAATGGTAGAACTGTGGCTTCTGAAATCCATAAGCCAATCACAAAAAATTAATAATTATTATGAAAGTACAATGAAACTAGAGGTATGAAAATGACAGAACTACTTAGGGAAAATGCTTATTTTTTTTGAAAATCTGGACTAAATGTAAATCCATCTGGGCTAAATTACTGTTTCTTTGTCTCTAAGACATTACATGAAAGGTGACTTCCAGGTTATCATAATTAACCTTTGAAATCCTAAATTCTGAAGTGCAGTAGTTAAGATTAGTTAATATAGAGTACATGCTGGGGTACAGTTTAGGAGTTAAAAACGCAGCCTCTGCACACTACAACTTGTGTAGTCCTAGCTCTGCAGCTCTGTAGCTGAACAACCCTCACAAGTTACTCAATTACCTCATCTATAAAATGGTGGTGACTGTAGCGTCCAAGGTTGCTGTGAGGATTAAATAAGTTAATGAATGCAAAGCATGTAAAGCCTTGCTTAACACATAGTAAGCAATCAGTGCACGTCAACCGTTCACATTATTGCTACGTATGCAGTGCAGAAAGTTTTGCAACACACTGCTTCCTTTATCGTCCCTTTATCCTACATCCTGTATCTTTCCTTGACACAACAACTACATCTAATAGGTATTCCCCAGCTTTTAAAGACTAGGGAACCAAGACTCAGCAATTACATTGCTTATTCACGGTCATACAATTAGTTGATGGATGAGCAGGGATTTGAACCTAGGACTGTGTGATTCAACAGCTGTGCTCTTGAACTCAGTTCTAGTTTACTTTCTTGTATCTACTCAATGAATGTCACAGGCATCTAAATGCAAAATAAAGTTCACCAAAGACAAAGAAATATGCCAAAGAGTCATTGAATAAAAAAATTTAGAAAAAAATTGTTGAAGAAAGTAATTAAACCAAAAGTAGAAGCTTTAATTACGGGCAGTTACTTACCATGTAATAGCCTGGCAGTAGCTTCTGAAGGAACTCAGCTTCTTTATGCTGAACTGTTTTGATGATAAATTCATCGTCACTGGTCACAAAAAACAAGGATCCACTGGCTCCGGGGTTGGACAGCTCTATTAGAGGTTCACTGCAGATGGAATACTGAAAGAGTAAATAAACAAATATTTAAAAATGTACTTAATGTACATGATGCTTCCAAGGAGGACAATCACAGCATTACATATCTTGGCCATTTTGAAACAGAAAGCCCTCTTCATGAGCTTTAAAAGGAGGCCCCAAGTATCCTAAGAAGGCTATTTGAGATTTCTAAAGATTTAATTGATCCTTTTATTGTAATAATTCTATGAGAGAAAACAGACATGCCCTCCCCACCCCCAGTGTCATACAATAGAATCATCAATCATCATATCTGTCTAATGAGATAACTCAAACAGTAATGTTAACTAAGGTGCGTTGTTTCCAGCAAGTGCCCATAAAATAACAACTGAAGCTATGATCTACTTTGTGCATTTATCACTGGAATGCCAACACTATTCTCTTTTCACCATTTATTCTCCCAGATGTCATCCACTCAAGGTTTCAACAAGGAGATGACTCCAGAGTCTGTATCTTCAGCCCAGATCTCTCTCTAGGGCTCCAGACCTGTTGGCCTAACATTTTAATAGACATTTCTACTTGTTTATACCACAAACACTTCACTTGCAACAAGTTCACAATCAAATTCATCTCCGAACTGTGGTTAACCTGTATGGTGCCTTTGGGGCAACTAGAAAGATGCTCCCTTTTATCTAGGCAGATACAGCTCTGGGCCAGGACACAAGGCTGCTGAGTAGGAGAAGGGCTGAACCCCAGTCTCCAACCCATTCCCCTCGGCCAGGGAGGGGCGCTTGGGCCACACACACCCTGCATAACTGTACATGGTGACTCCAGATCACCTGTGCCATCCTCTACCTTCCCTCTCTTTTCCCTATTTTAGAGAATGAAAACATCCCATTCCCCTCAGCCAGGGAGGGGCGCTTGGGCCACACACACCCTGCATAACTGTACATGGTGACTCAGATCACCTGTGCCATCCTCTACCTTCCCTCTCTTTTCCCTATTTTAGAGAATGAAAACATTATTTGCCTTGTTTCCCAAACCGGAAACTTGGGTACTATCCTTGACTTTGCACATTTCCTCATCTTCCATATCCACCATCGATTCTGCCTGCCCCTGTCTCAACGGTCTGTTCTTGTCCCTTCCAGTGCATTCTCCAAAGACCAGGGATCTTTCTAAAATGCAAATCTGATCATGTTCTTCTGTGCCTTCACATCTTTCAATGTGAGTTTTCAAGCCACAAATGGCCCAGCCCTCCTCTCTAGCTTTGTAGCTCTAGCTGTAGAGGGTGACTTCCCATTTTCTCAACTGTGCCACATGCTCTCCATGCCCAGGCCTTTGCATTTTCCTCTGCCTGCAGCAATCTCCACTCTGCTTCCACCTGGTTAACTACCACTCATTCTTGTATTCAACCAACATTTAAAAAATATCTATTGAGCATCTGCCATGTCCCAGGCACTTACAAAGCTTATATACTAGTAGGAAGAAACGGACAGTAAACAAGTAAATCAGAATATTGTAAGTGCTATGGAGAAAAATGAATTATAAAAAGAGAGGCAGAGAGTATCAGCCATGAGTGAGAAATGGGTTGCAGTAAATTTTAAATAGGGTGTCACTGAAGGTCTCGTTGGGAAGGTGGCATCTGAGTAGAGACTGAGGAGATCAAGCAGCGAGCCATGTGGATATCTGGGAAAGTGGCATTTCAGGCCAAGGGAAGGATAAATGCAAAGGCCCTGGGAACTGGTGAGTTCAAGGCACAGCAAGGAAGCCAGCGTGGAAAGGGACGAAGCCAGGGGGTCAGGAGGGCCAGACCATGTAAGGTGCTGCAGGCCACCAGAAGGACTGCGGCCTTTTTTCTACGGGAGCTGAAAAGCCACTGGAGGGTCTGGAGCTGACGACCACTCTGTGTGTTGTGTTGAGAACTCACCATAGGTGGACAAGAGGTGGATGCAGGCAGCACAATTTGGAAGCTGTTACACCAGCTTTAGCCTTCAGTGTCTGCTGGGACAGCACTTGCTCTGGAAAACTCTTCCTGGTTCCATAAGCCTAGATCAATTGCTTCCTGACACTGTATAGTCTCATCACAGAAGTTACCACAAAATCCCACAACTGCCCGTTTCATTTTCCTGAGTCCCCATTAGACTGTACAACTCTGTGAAGACAGAAACTATGAATATTTTATGCTGTCTGTCGTATAGTGCCAGGACCAGTGCCTAGCACATAGCAGGAATAAGTTTTTGTTAGGTAAATGGCTGAACCCCACCAACAACTGAAGGGCTGTGAATCTCACCCAAAATGCTGAAATCCAGCAAAGAAGTCAATTTTTGATTATTAAGCTCAGTGATTATTAATTAAAAATTCACATTATTGACTAGAAAAACATTGGGAGGCAGAGAAAAAGGTAAGTAGTCTTATGCAGAAGAGGTCAGGGCCAGCCTGGCAAAAGCAGAAACTTAAAGAGCCATATCTTTTTTATTTTTCTGTTTTTTTATTTGTAATCAGCAAATAATAATTATATATGTTTATGGGGTACAATGTAATGTTTTGATAATGTATACATTCTGAAATGATCAAATCAGGCTAATTAGCATGTCCATCACCTCACATTATCATTTCTTTGTGGTGAAAACATTTAGAAATCTACTCTTTCGGCAATTTAGAAATATATAATACATGACTATAAGCTACAGTCACCTGGCTGTCACCAGAACTTATTCTCACTGCCTGAAACTGTGCACCCTTTCACCAACACTTCCTCCCACCTCACCCCTAGCCTCTGGGAACCACCAATCTACTCTCTGCTTCTATGAGTTCAATTTTTTAAAATTCCACATATATGTGAGATCATGTGATATTTGTCTTTCTGTGCCTGGCTTATTTCACTTAACATAATGTCCTTTAGATTCACCCATGTTATCACAAATAACAGAATTCTAATCTTTTTAAAGGCTGAATAGTATTCCATTGTGTATATATACCACACTTTTAAAATTCATTCATCTGTGATGGCACTTAGGCTGTTTCCGTATCTTTGCTACTGTGAATAATGCTGCAGTAAACATGGGAGTGCAGATGTCTCTTCAACATAATAATTTCATTTTCTTTGGATACATACCCAGTAGTGGGATTGTTGGATCACATGGTAATTCTATCCTTAGTTTTTTGAGGAATTGCCATACTGGCTATACTAATTCACATTCCCACCAACTTTTCTCCAAGTCCTTACCAACACTTGTTATCTTTCATCTTTTTGATAACAGACATTTTTTTTTTTGTCTTTTTTTCATGTCCGGCAACGGATGGAAACCCTCAGTGTCGCGCCCGTACCGGACCGGGACTGGCAACGGGATCGCAACCCTCGGTGTCGCGCCCGCACCTCGCTCAGCCAGTGAGCGGGAACCGGTCTGTATGTGGGATCTGAGCCCTCGGGCGGGAGCGCCGCCGTGCTCCCAAGCAGCGCACTGTAGCAGTGCGCCACCGGGCCAGCCCGATAACAGACATTTTAATGGGTATGAGGTGATATCGCATTGTGATTTTAATTTGCATTTGCCTGATGATTGTGATGTTGAGCATTTTTTCCCATATCTGTTGGCCATTTGTATGTCTTCTTTTCAGAAATATCTATTCAGGTCCTTTGCCCAGTTTTTAATAGGGTTATTTGTTTTCTTGTCATTGAGTAGTTTGAGTTCCTTATATATTTTGGATATGAGCCCCTTATTTGATGTATGATTTACAAATATTTTCTCCCACTTTGTGGGTTGTCTCTTCACTCTGTTAATTGCTTCCTTTACTGTGCAGAAGCTTTTTAGTTTGATGCAGTCCCCTTTGTCTATATCTTCTTTCATTGCCTGTGCTTTGGGGTTATGTTGAAGACATCATTGCCCAAACCAATGTTGTGCAGCTTCCCCCAAATGTTTTCTTCTAGTATTACAGTTTCTGGTCTTACATTTAAGCTTTAATCCATTTTGAGTTGATTCTTGTGTATAGTGTGAGATAAGGGTTCAATTTCATTCTTCTGCATGTGGATATCCAGTTTACCCAACACCATTCATGGAAGAAAATGTCCTTTCCCCATTGCATGCTCTTAGCACCTTTGTTGGAAATCAACTGACCGCAGATGTGTGCATTTATTTCTAGGCTCTCTGTCCTATTCCATTGGTTAATGAGTCTGTTTTTATGCCAGCACCACGCTGTTTTGATTACTGTAGCGCTGTAATATAAAGAACCATATCCTGAGGATGTAGTCCTCTGAAAACACCAAGGATGAAAATCCCCCAAAGCTTTTGTTCTGGGCTTGTGAGTATTTAAGTCCACATCATAGAAGAGTCTGAAATGAGGGAGAGTGAGAGGAGAGGGAAGGAGAGGGAGAGAGAAACTAGGAGGAAAAAAAGCAGTTTCTAGATATCATCTTTTACATTATCTTGCTTTGGCAGCACCCTGGATAAGAGAAACAAAATTCTCCAAGAAGAGAAAGAAGCGAATATTTGCTGGCTTCCTAAGTCACTGGCAATTTCCATCTTCTACCTACTCTTCTTTCTGCTGGCCTTGCTTCTTGCAACTCTCTTGCTAAGCAGCATTAGAGCCTAAGCCCTTATGGAAGAGTTGAGGATAAGGTAGGAAAACAAAAATAGCCATCAGGCTGCATACAGGATGCCATAAACACCAAGAGGAAGCAGAGGGCACTTGCCCAGCCTTGTGTTGAAAGTGTCCACGTGGAAGGGCGATTCGTAGAAAGGGTATGAGATTTGGAATCAACTGATGTTTGTAAAAAGATGGCTGCACCAGTTCTAGTTATTTAACCCTGAATAAATAACTTAGGGTCTTGGAGTCTTAGGCGCCTCCTCTCTAAATAAAAGATAATAATACATATCTGAAAGTAGCTGAAAGTTTTTAAAGTGAATGCTTTTGAAACCCCTGGCAAAGAGTGACTACATTATTGCTGCTCTTTTTTTGTTTGTTGTTTTGTTCTTACATGATCATACACAGGTGAGAGAGGAAAAACTTGCAATATACACACATTCCACAGGCAGGTAAGGAAGAGGTGG